GCGCCCGCGGTTGCGCATGCGCAAAGCATCAACGAAATTTTTTTTTCAATATTTTTTCAATATTTTTTTAATTTAATTATTAATTTTTTTAATAATAAAAAATATTTGGCAGAAAATGCTTGCCAAAAAGAGCCACAGGGCAAACAGACTGAGCCTCCCCGCTGCTCCCAGCTCCGTCCCACCCTCCTGAGTCCTGCGGGCTCTCTCTCTCTCTCTTTCTCTCTCCACCAAGAGGAGGGAAAGGAGAAGAAAGAAAAGAGGAAGGGAAAGGAGGGAAGGCAGGCACTCACTCTGGCGGGCCCTCAAGCGCTGCCGCCGAGTCGGGCCCAGCTCCTCCGAAGCACACCCACCGCAAAGGTGAGGAAGGAGGGACGGGGCCGCCTTCCCGCTGAGGGTCGCTCGCCCTCTCGCTCGCTTGCTCAGCCGGCGCCTTCCCCGCCCTCTCCTCCTCCTCCTCCTCTTTCAGGCTCTGACTGGCTAAGGAGAGGAGAGAGAGGAGAGCCAGCCTAATAATCCTCAGCAGGAGGCACTGCGGGCCCAATCAGGAGAACCCACAGGGCAATCAGCTCCGTGGGTTCTTCTGATTGGCTCCCGGAGCTCCCAGCAAGCATCTAGCCATCTTACGTATTTCCGAAATGGACGGAAATACAAAAATATTTGGCGCATGCTGTTTCGATTTTGAAAATACACTTCCGGGTTTGGAAAAAAGTTTGATATTGTTTCGTATATGGGAAATTAACGGAAAAAAAACGATATACAAAATTAACGAACGAAACCGCCCAGCCCTATTAATTAGGCATTTGAAAAGTCTCAGTGAGATGTCCTTGAGACATGTCTCATGTCTTCTTGGTTGGACCTGAGCTTAAATTAAGTGATGTTTACTTGGTGTCTCCAGAGCAGACAACCTTGCCAGAGATTTAAGTTCCCCTTTCAGCTCTCAAGCTCGTGATTTAAGTCTCCTGTGTTTGCCTATGCTCCTGTAAGAGTTTTTCCTTGGAAAAGTTCCTGTTTTCATGATTATGGATTTATGCCTATGATCTTGACTTCTTGAATTCCATGTAACTTGCTGTTTTAGACTACTGAACTTTATATATATATGGACTACTGCTATTTTACCCTTTCCACTGCTTTTTGGGGAATGCCCTTTTTTCCCTTTTGGGCAGGCTTTTGTAAATAAAGCTGTAGTTTGATACTACTGGACTCTGGTGTTGTGCTGGGTAAAAAGGTGTTCCCAAGGCTAGAGTGCAAAAAAAAAAAAACCAAAAAACAACCTCATGCCAAATATTAATTACAATAGTCATATCACCCTCTAGACCAAATTGAATTGGACTGCTCCTACCTTAGACAGAGCTAGGCAGCATATGCTGAGAGGTAGTCACAAGATATTAAAGGTGAGAGTTGTGCTCCAGGTAAGACTGTAATCTTTTACCTATATCATTTTCACTCTCACTTTATAATGTGCTTTTTAATGCTTTTAAAAAAAAATCTGTGAATGAGAATGGCCTTTGGTCTGGGCATTAATAAATGGGAAACCTTTTCTAAAATCCGAAAAATGCAAGGAAATGTTGTTTAATCTTCTAAATGTTGTTAGCAGCGGTATCACAGGATGTTGTCCAACATTTTTTTCTGTGAAATATGAAAAAAATAAATAAATCTGCAATACACATCTTATACCAAGGCAGTGGACAAACTGGTCAGTGGGAGTGAACCCAGTAGAGATTACTTTAATGGATATTCTGTTTGTGTGAAGATGGGATTGAAAGTGTGAGAATTAACAAAATTCAATTTCTGTGTAGGTCTTTTTTATGTGTAGGATGAAAGAATTCATGTTTAAGAAATTGTGTAATTATTTAACTGGAAAATTATACTGGAGGTGGAGATAACTGAAATTGTTATACTCGTAACTAAAAGAGAATTATACTGAAACCCTTTAGTGGAACATTATAAACCCTTTCTCTATTGTAATATGCACATATACACACCTCAGGCAAGATTGAAATGGAACCTTTTCTAAAAGCAGCTTTCTGATTCTTATTAAGTTTTACCAAATTTTAACCTCCGGGGTCCAGTTTACATTGTGACAACTAATTATTTAATGAAGACCATGCCAATGCTTTTATTTAAGTTAAGAAAAGTAGGGAGAAAATACTCCAGGTTTTCATGTAATTCATGTACCTTTGTGACACAGAATTGCCCCATTTCAAAAATGTGTAGTTTGACTCACTGAAAAAGAAACTGAACAAAAGATGTTCCTTCATAATGGTATCTATCTATAGTGATATATTCTCCTATTTAAAACCCATTATTCCCATTTCTGTGGATTATATCCTTATTTTTCTCATATTTGCAGGGAATCACATTGCTGAGGTCCGGCTTCATTCATACCTTGTTTATTCAGGCATTTTAGTTGCAGTTATTACTCATCCCATTCACTCTGTTCTGGCGAGAATGTGGTCATTCTTGCATTCTATTTCATTGCGTGTTATTTTATGTGTATTCCCTTAGTAAAGAAATGGGTGATTGTCAGGAACATGTTTTGACCAAACCAACCCCTATGAGCCGTACTTAAAACATTCCTGAAATAGCATTACATCACATCCAGATGAGTATTAAAATACCCAAGTATCTTCTCATTCTTTTTTGTTTGGGCATAATAGTATCTCTGACATTTCAAAATTATTAAACTATCATGCAGTTTCTATGAACAGCAGACATAATCAACCCCCTACTAAGGAATTTATCAGCAAGTTCAGTGAAACTTTATGTGTCTACATAGTGACAACTTTTCCCATGTGACCTTGGTGGTTGCAGAGTTTCTTTCTGAGGCAGCCAGGATTAGACAATTCCCTATTTTAGACACAGGTTTTTAGCCAACTCATGGTTTAAGCCATTTTTAACTGTTGTTAATTTTACCCATGTCTGTACCCAAGCACAGTTGCTTTGGTTCTTAATTCTCATTGCTTGCATACCTTGAGGCTGAAACACACCGGCACTTATAGTTTTTTATCCTTGTTTTCCATAGAATTATGGAACAAATAGACCCCTGTCTGATTCCACAGCAAGCTGGCTTCAGGAAAGGCAAAAGCTGCACATTGCAAGTGCTGAACCTGACTCAGCACATAGAAGATGGCTTTGAAAGGCAGCAGATTACAGGAGCTGTCTTCATAGACCTGTCAGCGGCTTATCATACTGTAAACCACCACCTCCTCCTGAGAAAAATGTATAATATCATAAAGGATTACCACCTCACCCGCCTCATAGGAAACCTGCTACAAAACAGGAGCATTTTTGTAGAGTTCCAGGGCCAGAGAAGTAGATGGCAGAAACAGAAGAACAACCTGCCTCAGGGGAGCATGCTTGCTCCATCCATGTTCAACATCTACACAAATGTCCAGCCACTGCCAGAAGGGACAGAGAGTTTCATCTATGCTGATTATTGTGCCATTACCGCTCAAGCAGGGAGCTTTGAGATGGTTGAACAAAAGCTCTCAGAAGCTCTCGGTGCTCTTACCTCCTACTACAGGGAAAACCAGCTGATTCCTAATCCATCTAAAACACAGACATGTACCTTTCACCTTAAGAACAGACAAGCATCCCGAGCTCTGAGGAATACCTGGGAAGGAATCCCATTGGAGCATTGCAGCACACTCAAATACCTGGGAGTCACTCTGGACCGTGCTCTGACCTACAAGAACCACTGCCTGAATATCAAGCAAAAAGTGGGTGCTAGAAATAATATCATACGAAAGCTGACTGGCACAACCTAGGGATCACAGCCAGACACAGTGAAGACATCTGCTCTTGCGCTATGCTACTCTGCTGCTGATTATGCATGCCCAGTGTGGAACACATCTCACCACACTAAAACAGTAGATGTGGCTCTTAATGAGACATGCCACATTATCACGGGGTGTCTGCACACTACACCACTGGAGAGATTACACTGCTTAGCCGGTATTGCACCACCTGACATCCGCTGGGAAGTAGCAGCCAATAGTGAAAGGACCAAGGCAGTGGCATCTCCAGCTCATCCCTTGTTTGGGTATCCGCCAGCACGTCAACGACTTAAATCAAGACATAGTTTTCTAAGATCTACAGAGACACTCACTGGAACACCTCAGCAAGCGAGAGTCCAAAAGTGACAGGCTGAAACTCAGAACCTCAACCAATGGCTGATGCCAAATGAGAGACTCCCCCCGGGCACACAGAAGATTGGGTGACTTGGAAGACGCTGAACAGACTGCACTCTGGCACCACGAGATGTAGAGCCAATCTTAAGAAATTGGGCTACAAAGTGGAGTCCCCAACATGCAAGTGTGGAGAAGAGCAAACCACTGACCACCTGCTGCAATGCAACCTGAGCCCTGCTACATGCACGATGGAGGACCTTATTGTGGCGATACCAGAGGCACTCCAAGTGGCCAGATACTGGTCAAAGGACATTTAATCAACTACCAAGTTTGCAAACTTTGTGTTTTTTTTAACCTGTTTGTTTGTTTTGTTCTATTAGAAATGTAATACAATGGTCTGGTTGCCCCTGACACGATAAATATAAATGGAGAATATAGTTCTAGACTAGATAAAGCAAAGATCTGACCCAGTTCCAGATCTCATGCCTCATTTTCTGACTGGCTTTGTCTTTGCATCTTTGCATCTTGAAGATTATATGCCAATAGTTTCAATCATATGCTATGTACATGCTTGTTCTCAATGTATATGTACAGTAGGGATCAGATCAGGAGAAACATCGCAACTGTAACAGCTGTTCTATGGAGAAATCAGCTGCTGCATGATGTGATAATTTCTCTTTCACTGGCATTATTTTAGCAGAAGCTGGTTAGCCATCTGTCAGGGATGCTGTACTTGCATCCTATGCTGAAGATTGTATACTGGGCAGGGGACTAATTTAGATGTCCTTCCAAACTTGTGATTCTGTGATAGACCACTTTCAATGTAAGATTAATCTTTCCCCTGCTTTTCTTGCTTTCATTTTGCTGCAGTATTCAAAGGCAAACAGACACCAAGAGCCAGCGATTGAAAAAATGATGGAATCTAGTTTTTCAGGAACTCAGCCCTTTTCTGAAGCCTTGTCTCCTGACAGAGGGGGGCAGACTATGAAACCACACAGGTAAGAAAGCAGATCGTTATTGGTATTTGTTGTGTTATACATAGAGAAGACCATTGTAGCTAACAACTAGGGAGGCGTTTGGGCGTATAAAGTGTTAAAGAAACCACATTCTGTTCATTAAGCAGATGGTCCAGGCTACTGACATCAAACAGTCATAACTTCTGCTTCAAATTCAACTTCCTTCTCTCTCTTTCTTTTTTTGTACAAAGCCTAGAGGAAGTATTAAGGATACCATCAAAGCTGTAGTCACAGATCAGTGAATGAGACAATTGTATTCTGAAAAACCATTACAAAATAAGATTCCCCCTGCCATCCTGCCTCATCTCTGTTCATGAAGTTAATGATTCATCCCCCCTGCATGCCAGATTGAGATGCCAGCTTCTAAACTTCCTCAGCATTTTGTATTTGCCTGTGCAAGCCAAAATTGTCTATGTAGGCCAAAAGTGGTCCTTCCACTAGCTGACAGCACATTTTTGCATGGCCAAAAGCACAGTTGTTTGTTCCACAGGAGTGTTTTACTTGTGTATGTCCACTGCTTGATTACTTACAGCTCAGAATGTAATGAAGGCTCATAATTTTTCTCATCCTTGATGAAAGCAAATGTTTCGGGACATTCCATTGAGAGAATGGTAAATTCTCTTGAGTGCCTTTGTATGTTAGGATTTCCCACCTCCCACCCCGTGCCATCACCGCTCAAGCAGGGAGCTTTGAGATGGTAGAACAGAAGCTTTCCGAAGCTCTAGGTGCTCTTACTGCCTATTACAGGGAAAACCAGCTGATCCCCCAACCCATCTAAAACACAGACATGTGCCTTTCATCTCAAGAACAGACAAGCATCCCGAGCTCTGAAGATCACCTGGGAAGGAATCCCACTGGAGCATTGCAGCGCACCCAAATACCTGGGAGTCACTCTGGACCGTGCTCTTACCTACAAGAAGCACTGCCTGAACATCAAGCAAAAAGTGGGTGCTAGAAACAATATCATACGAAAGCTGACTGGCACAACCTGGGGATCACAACCAGATACAGTGAAGACATCTGCCCTTGCGTTGTGCTACTCTGCTGCTGAGTATGCATGCCCAGTGTGGAACACATCTCACCACACTAAAACAGTGGATGTGGCTCTTAATGAGACATGCCGCATTATCACGGGGTGTCTGCGCCCTACACCACTGGAGAAATTACACTGCTTAGCCGGTATTGCACCACCTGACATCCTGCCGGGAAGTAGCAGCCAATAGTGAAAGGACCAAGGCAGAGACATCTCCAGCTCATCCGCTGTTTGGGTATCAGCCAGCACGTCAACGACTTAAATCTAGAAATAGTTTTCTAAGACTACAGAGACACTCGCTGGAACACCTCTGCAAGCGAGAGTCCAAAAGTGGCAGGCTCAAACCCAGAACCTCAACCAATGGCTGATACCAAATGAGAGACTCCCCCCTGGGCACACAGAGGACTGGGCGACTTGGAAGGCACTGAACAGACTGCGCTCTTGCACCACGAGATGCAGAGCCAACCTTCAGAAATGGGGCTACAAAGTGGAATCCTCAACATGTGAGTGTGGAGAGGGTCAAACCACTTCCCACCTGCTGTAATGCAACCTGAGCCCGGCTACATGCACAATGGAGGACCTTCTTGCAGCAACACCAGAAGCACTCCAAGTGGCCAGATACTGGTCAAAGGACATCTAATCAACTACCAAACTCGCAAATTTTGTATTCTGTATTTCGTATTTTTGTATTTTGTCTGTTTGTTTGCTTTGTTCTGTTAGAAATGTAATATAATTGACTGTTTGCTGATGTCTCGATAAATAAATAAATAAATAAATAAAAACCTTCCACCCCCACCCCCATTTTTGCCGATTTTTTGAAAAATCAGATTTAATTGACTTATGAATAAACATATGGATACAGCAGGCCCTCTGTATGCGGGGGTAAACATTTGTAGTTTTGAGTATTCACTAGGCTTGGGCGGTTTCGTTCGTTAATTTCGTAATTCGTTATTAATTCGTATTTAAATTAGCTTACGATCCAATATTGAGCCATGCAGGAATTGTGTGAGGAGTAATAAAGATTCGAAACAATTTTTCAATTTATTTCGTAATTATTTCGTAATTATTTCGTAATTATTTTTTCGAAATTATTTCGTAATTATTTCGTAATTATTTCGTAATTATTTTCGCATGTCTGGTGCAAGTTTTATAGTTGTTGTTTGTTTTATCACACCAACAGTCAACAACAGAGGGAGAGGGAAGCTTCAGAAGTTCCTCCTGTCCCATTTGGAGGTTTTTTTTTTAGCATATTGCGCAATCTCGTCCGCCATTAACGAATCGATTCGTAATTTTACGAAATTTCGTAAATTTCGATTTTTTTTAAAGGAAAATTTCGGAATTATTAAAAAAAACGAAACGCAAGGGCCCCCTAAAAACAAAACGAGTTTAGAACCAAATTTTTCCGTGGTTACCCAAGCCTAGTATTTATCATATGTAATTATTCACATATTTCTCTTATTACAGCACCAAAAAACACTTTAGAAACACTTTAGAAAACACTTTAGAAACACTTTAGAAATGAAATGCCATTGTCCGTCCCCTCCCTCCAGTTTTGTAATGACTTTTGAATCAATTTACTTATGGATTACACATGCCAACTTGGGTTGTGCATGCATCCATTTTTTCCTAATTGCACACCCCTATTACTTACTGCTAAATAAGTAAGTAAATATAGTTAAAAGGGAGGCATGGGGTCAGAATCCTTGGAGACTTGCTTCGGCATAACAAACCATTACACTGGCATAAGCATAAACATGTTTATTTCAGTATTAAGGATGAATTGTACCCAGTGAGGCTTAGTATGTTTGGCACATTAAAGCTCCACTAAAATCAGTGGGACTTAATCACTTAGTCAAGCAGCTAAATTCAATTCATTTGAATACAGGACATGCCAAATCTGCCCTTTAATTTTCTTGGATCTCCATGCATTACAGTATTTAATAGCAGACTTTTTATCACTTGGTATTTGATGTCATCATGCAATAGAGTGTTTAATACTTGAGTGCATTTGATAGTTGGAAAGCAATGGTATTTATTATCCAAACATAATTGCAACCTATGCATGCTTAAATTTCATTCAGATCTTGCTTTTCAAATGTGAGCCATTTGGGCTCTGAGAAAAAGGCAGAAAATCACCACCAGAACAACAACAGCCGCAGCAATAACAACAACAACTTGCCAACATGTCTAGATTTGACATTCAGATTAAAATGTTACATTTAATTTTACAATGTATGTGTTCAAAAATGGAATTGTGAAATCAGGAATTTTGTCTCATTTTGAAAACTTCTGAATCCTACCATATAACCACCATACCTCCATACTACTTGCAGATATTAATTCAGCTACAACCTACAATGTTGCAAAGTTCTGTGCAGCAGCATACAAAATCCGTCAGGGAATGACTAGCCCCAAAAGTTAACTGTGTGTCCAGTAATCTTCTTCTCTGAATCTATAATTTGGTGATGGATCTGGGCATTGTATGTTTTTACCCTGTTTCCCCTTCCCTTCTGCTCCCTCGCCCATATTGTGCTTCAGTCGTTATATTTATATTTTTAATGTACCAAACATATCAAGTTTGTATGAAAATGTGACTCTATTTCCTGTGCTGGTCAATGACCGAAATAAATGATTTGATTTGATTTGAATCCTACCATCATCTAACACAGCAGATTTCTTTTCTTTGTAATGGTCTCAGTGCTCTCAAAATAATTTCATTTATGATCTTTTATAAATTGTCTCACAGTGGAACCACTGAATGTATCTTGGAACAGATATTCTCTTTTTTCCCCTTCTGTTTTTAATAGCCAAAAGAAGGGGAGGTTGCTTGCTTCTCTTCCAGAGTCAACTGCATATCAGTATAGATCCCTGTCCAACACACCAAAAGTCCTCTGGGGTCCATTGCATTGGTTGTCATTCAGTCTTTCACAGCTGTAAACATGTTCCCTGTCAACAAAAGCTAGATGCTAGAGGTTCTAATGCCTTTCTGGGGATTTTCTCAGTTCGATTAAGACTTTTGCTTCTCAAGAAGTATCTAAGAGAAAAAAAAACACCCGTCAACATCTGCAGGTGTGCAGAAATCGACCAACAAGCACATTCCATTTTGAGTTACTTAGTTTTTGAATGAAATAAATTGCCTTTTGATTCTATCTCAAATCTTATCACCACAATGATGTTCCCTATTAAAGCTCTTATAAGCGTTGGGTAAACAAAAGGTGCTTCTCTTTCATAATGAGATGGATAATCAGCTTTGTTTTGGAACAAACTGAAAAGGGGAATCGAAAAGGTTCCCACAGTGGTTATAAATTCAGTATAATGTGTTTTCTGCTTGGTGAATGCATTTGCATCCACTGAGAGAAGAAAACTGCTGTGCAGTTTTGCCTTTCGTAACTGTATGCACGCTGCATAAGGATCGAGCTATTACTTACTTTTACTTTACTTAGGCAATCCCTCATGGTCCAAGTAGGATTGTCTTCCAAGATCGGTGTACTGTGGTGGGTCCGTAGGTGATTGTGGAGCCCTATTCTTGATCTGCATCTTCTCCCGCAGTTTTTTTTGCTCCCCCCCCCACTTTTATTTGATACATCTCAACAATCAACAAAATTTTGCCATACAGGACTTATTTCAATATACATTATTCCAAAAATAAATATTCCTTAAATGACATTCTATACATTCCTTAGTTATGTATCACCCAACAAATCCCCCTCCCCCCATTCCTCCCACACCCCTGGAACAGCAATTCTAAATCATGTCATTGCATCAATTTAACCGTATGGAAAGCCTGGTTCATAATGCTGTATCTGTCGTCTCCGTCTATTTTGTCAATTAACACAGACCATTTCCTAAACCAGTCTTGTTCTATTTGTCTATTTATATACTTGTTTTTCCTTTGATTGATAAAAACATTAATCATATATTCTAATAGATAGGTCCACCAGGTTTCCAATCCCATTTTGTATCATCTCTCCATCCCTGGGCTATTGTGGCCTGTATTGCTGCTGTCATATATTTTAGGATTTCTGTGTTTTCTGCTTGGTGAATGTATTTGCATCCACTGAGAGAGAAAAACTGCTGTGCAGTTTTGCCTTTTGTAACTGTATGCACACTGTATAAGGATCAAGCTATTACTTTTACTTTACTTAGGCAATCCCTCGTGGTCCAAGTAGGATTGTCTTCCAAGATCGGTGTACTGGTGGTGGGTCTGTAGGTGACTGTGGAGCCTTATTCTTGATCTGCATCTTCTCCCGCAGTGAGGACACTGGTTTCCAGGTGGAAGGCAGTCCCGGTTGGGGTTGGGTTGACATGCCTTCCTCTTGGCACGTTTCTCTCTTTCACCTCCATTCGTGCCTCTTCAAATTCTACAGCACTGCTGGTCACTGCTAACCTCCAGCTGGAGCGCTCAAGGGCCAGGGCTTCCCAGTTCTCGGTGTCTATGCCAGAGTTTTTAAGGTTGGCTTTAAGCCCATCTTTGAATTTTATTTATTTATTTATTTATTTATTTATTTATTTATTTACAGTATTTACTGCTTTTCTAGGGGGACACAAAGCAGTTTACACATAGATTATGGAAAAAAATTGATGCCTTACAACTACAATAGTAAAACCACACTTTAAACATAAATCATATTTAAAACAGTACATTACCAAATATCAAAACAGTTATTAAAACTATAAAAACAATCTCATCAGTCAAGTTGCCGTTCCAGTCCTTGTCCCACTAAAAGCTGCATACATCTATTGTCTGAAGGCCTGGTCCCAGAACCATGATTTTAGATTTTTTTTTCCTGCCCACCAACATTTCATTTTCCATTCTTGAGTTCAAAGTAGAGCAACTGCTTTGGGGGATGGTGGTTGGGCATCAGGACAATGTGGCCGGTTCAGCCACATGTTGATGATGGAGGACCATCACTTCAGTGCTGGTGGTCTTTGTTTCTTCCAACACACTGACTTTTGCCTGCTTGTCTTCCCAAGAGATTTGCAGGATTTTTTGGAGGCAATGCTGATGGAATCATTCCAGGAATTGCATGTGATGTCTGTAGATAGTCCACATCCCACAGGCATATAGCAGGGTTGGAAGGACAATAGCTTTATAAACAAGCACCTTGGTATACCTATGGATGTCCTGGTCCTCAAACACTCAGTGCTTCATTCAGAAAAATGTTGCACTCGTAGAGCTCAGGTGGTGTTGTATTTTAGTGTCAATGTTGACTTTTGTGGAGATGTAGCTGCCAAGGTAGCGGAAATAGTCAACATTTTCTAATGTTACACCGTTAAGCTGTATTTCTGACATTGGATTGGCTGGTGACTGCTGGAAAAGAATTTTGGTTTTCTCGATGTTCAATGATAGGCTGAGCTTCTCGTATTCTTCTGCGAAGGTGTTTAGAATGGCTTGTAGGTCTTCTTCTGAATGCGCACAGATGACGTTGTCATGTACCATGTTATCCTTCGCCTGCTCTGCCATTGAGGTCTTTGGGTCTTCAGATTGTGCTTGGTCTGGAACCTCCCCTGCGGCTGCTCCCAGGAATGCATGACTCCAGTCATTGTGCCCCCAGGTTCATTGGAACATGCAAGCCCCCTCACCATGACAAGGTGACAGTCCATCGAGGGGTCGAGCTATTGCAGTTAAAGCAGTACTAATTCTATACTTCTGTTCTCTCAGTTGCTTTGCTGTGGAAGCATGTTGACACTTCTTTCATAAATGAAGTGTTGACTAAAAAAACATTGTTCCCAGTCTTCATAAAGAAAAAAAAAGAAGTTTCAGTTTCAAGATGTGTATATGTGAATGACAACTCATGAACTCCAGTGTTGCATCTGATGAAGTTCCTATCTCTGTTGTCTTTTTGCTGACTCAACCATGTGGTTTGAGATCACATGTTATCATGGAACTGGAAAAGTGTCCAGCAAGACAAAGTTCATGGTGAATCATGTAAGGAAATTATCCAACTAATGAGTCTGAAATAGTCCACAGAATTAGTAACCGGGCAGAATGGGGTGTTAGACCAGCAATAACTAGGCTGGAAGTGAAAGGTTTTCTAAGAGATATACGTTGTCATTAATATGTTGTCATTAGCCAGAATACTAGTGAGGTCCTGAGCCAAGGTACATGGATTGGTTCTCAGAGACATACAGCCTCATGTAGAGGAATATACAGTATCTCTACAGACTACAATTCCTATTATCTCTGTCTAGGAAAAAATTTCCATCTAACATATCTGGAGAGTGTCCAGTTGAGAAAGGCTGCCTTCGTTTCATAGAAGTACTAAGTTCCTGTAATAATCAAAATAGACCTTACATTTCTGTATTCCACATACTATTAATCTAATCTCCCTTCCTTCACAACTTTTTATCATAGGGAGTGTAAGGCTTTACAGTTGTTTCTGTGTCTCTGTTTTCCAGAAGTCTCTCTTCATGCTGTAGCCCAGGCCAGCGAACAGGGATGCTCCACAGGAATGCCTTTCGGAGGACTCCTCCCTTACCTCGGGGCAGGTTCAATGGAATTACAGGACCAGCGTATCAACAGCTGGAAGAGTCAAGGATCACAGATCAGGAGACAATACCTTGTCAAGGGTATGTATATGAATTCATTCCATCCAAAAATTGGTAATTTTTTCATGAGCAGAAACAATTGCAAAAACATTTCTTTTGGAGAGAAAAATGCACTTTTGTACAAAAAGTACAGGTAGTCCCCAAGTTAGTCTTACCTATATCATAGTGGAGTTGTGAAGATAAAGTGGTATAAGTGTTTTTATGTTGTCCTGAGCTTCCTCAAGAAAGGGAAACAACCAGCTATATCAGTAATTAATACTCGATCGGTCATAGAATCATAGAATCATAGAATCAAAGAGTTGGAAGAGACCTCATGGGCCATCCAGTCCAACCCCCTGCCAAGAAGCAGGAATATTGCATTCAAATCACCCCTGACAGATGGCCATCCAGCCTCTGTTTAAAAGCTTCCAAAGAAGGAGCCTCCACCACACTCCGGGGCAGAGAGTTCCACTGCTGAACGGCTCTCACAGTCAGGAAGTTCTTCATCATGTTCAGATGGAATCTCTTCTCTTGTAGTTTGAAGCCATTGTTCCGCGTCCTAGTCTCCAAGGAAGCAGAAAACAAGCTTGCTCCCTCCTCTCTGTGGCTTCCTCTCACATATTTATACATGGCTATCATATCTCCTCTCAGCCTTCTCTTCTTCAGGCTAAACATGCCCAGCTCCTTAAGCCGCTCCTCATAGGGCTTGTTCTCCAGACCCTTGATCATTTTAGTCGCCCTCCTCTGGACACAATCCAGCTTGTCAATATCTCTCTTGAATTGTGGTGCCCAGAATTGGACACAATATTCCAGGTGTGGTCTAACCAAAGCGGAATAGAGGGGTAGCATTACTTCCTTAGATCTAGACACTATGCTCCTATTGATGCAGGCCAAAATACCATTGGCTTTTTTTTGCTGCCACATCACATTGTCATTAATCAAGTATCTAGGATTCAGTACTTAACAGACAGATGACTGCTGCCAACAGGAGGGGATGGGATGGGATGGGAGGGGGAGGATAACTTAGCTGATGAAGAAATGGCACATCTTGGCTTGGATGGGGAAGATAGGAAGCACAGAAAAACAAGTATGGTATGTATCCTGCAGCATGTAAGGCACCAGATATTACTTGGGACAGACCCATGATCATTATGAAGATGTGAAGGCCTGAGCTGGTTCTATCAGGCTGGTCTCAGCATGGGTTAAGACTGTCTACATTATATTCCAGATAGTTATTTGCATAAAAACCATGAAAGGAAACTGTTGCATAAATAATTATTGTAAGAGTAAACGTTGGCTGTCCTGAACCATCATTTTCGTATGTACTTATTTCAGTGAAAACATTGCCTTTCAAGTTCAAGCTGCTAAGCTTAAAGCGGGAGATCAATAATATTAGTCTATTAACTGTTGTGGGCCAGTCTATTGGTGTCACTGTTGTCTTGATATATTGTCTGGACCGTGTTCATTTTAATTTGGCTGTGTAATATCCTAGTAGCTCTCACCACATGATAAAACTTGCCTGCTCACCTGATTAAAATGAATTCATTTGCAATTAATTTATATCTTAACATTAAACACATAAACAAATGAAATTTTGTGAAGCCAGAAACATACACACAGCTGACAAAGTGTGACCACAGAAAAACATAAGACTGTGATTCAGGAGTTTGCAATAAAAAATTCTTCCCCCCTTCCTAAAACCTACCACTAATAGTCATCCTGAGGACCTTCATAGGTGGAGTTCCATAGGGAGCCTGCTTGTTATGCACAAAGCTTTTGACCTATTGCTTAATGTCAGGGTTGTCTAGGGGAAGAAACACGATATATGTACAAACTCATGATATAAAACTACACACATTAAATTGAAGTGTTTTGGTACCCTGAGACACGAATTCCTTCAAACGTCTCAAGTTCTCAGGCAGGAAAAATACAATCATAATCTGCTATTGTTTTATCCTTTTTTTAACTTTGTGTTTTTATTAGAACTATTTATCTAATTGCTTTGTTTTACATTTTATATAATCAGACCTTAGATGTACATTTTAATATGTCATAAATCACCTTGGGCCTTGAACTGGGAGAAAAGATTTATCGTGTCATTGTGTCATCAGCAACCATACCATTGTACTACATTTCTAACAGAACAAAACAAACAAAAAGATAAAAAAACACAGATTTTGCAAAACTTGGTAGTTGATTAAATGTCCTTTGACCAGTATCTGGCCACTTGGAGTGCCTCTGGTGTTGCCGCAAGAAGGTCCTCCATTGTGCATGTAGCAGGGCTCAGGTTGCATTGCAGCAGGTGGTCAGTGGTTTGCTCTTCTCCACACTTGCATGTTGTGGATTCAACTTTGTAGCCCCATTTCTTAGATTGGCTCTGCATATCGTGGTGCCAGAGTGCAGTCTGTTCAGTGCCCAGTCTTCTGTGTGGCTGGCCAGGAGGGAATCTCTCATCTGGTATCACCCACGGATTGAGGTGCTGGGTTTGAGCCTGCCACTTTTGGACTCTTGCTTGCTGAGATGTTCCAGGAAGTGTCTCTGTAGATCTTAGAAAACAATTTCTTGATTTAAGTCGTTGACGTGCTGGCTGATACCCAAACAAGGGATGAGCTGGAGATGTCACTGCCTTGGTCCTTTCACTATTGGCTGCTACTTCCCGGCGGATGTCAGGTGGTGCAGTGTAATTTCTCCAGTGGTGTGGGGTGCATACACCCTGTGATAATGCGGCATGTCTCCTTAAGAGCCACATCCACTGTTTTAGTGTGATGAGATGTGTTCCACGCTGTGCATGCGTACTCAGCAGCAGATTAGCATAGCGCAAGGGCAGATGTCTTCACTGTGTCTGGTTGTGATCCCCAGGTTTCACAGGTTCAGATTGAATAGATGAAAAACAATTTTGGTCTATGTGGTTGTCATTTCACTCATCCTCATTATATAAATAAGTTTTTGTAGCAAGTATCTGTCTTGTATCCAAGCATCATATAGAAAAGGTACCTGACCTTGTGCATTTCTCTCCCTTAGGTTATCTGCTGGTTTAAAGCCACCACAGAGTTCTTCAATAAATATGCAACTGCCTTCAAGAGAGACGAGCTCTTACTTTAATAGTATGGCTCAAAAGGACATGGTTGGCTACTCATCTCCACGAGCCAATTCTGTTCCCATCATCCCCTCTGTGGGCTTAGATGAAGCCTGCATGCAGACACAAAACCTTTCAGACATAACAGGCATCAAATGGTGCAAAAACTCCTATTCCACTGAACTAGTCAATGTGAGTGCCCCAGCCAACCGTTGTCTTATTGCGGAACAACAAGAAGTCAAAATATTGTTAGAAACTGTCCAGGAGCAGATTCGAATTCTGACTCATGCAAGGAGGTCAGAGGACTTTGAACTGACAACTGCCAATGCTGAGAGCAGTACAAGTGAAAACACAGCTTTTCTGCCCATGAGTCCTGTGGTGAAATCGGAACGAGAGGCACAATTTGTCTTAAAAAGTGAAATGAAAAGAGACTCAGCATTGATCAAGTGACTTTGAACTGGGGGGTGGGGAAGGGGAGGGAACGGGAAGGGAAAGGGGATGTACGGATCTGTGCATTTGAAGCTTTGCTAAACAGGAAAGAAAGGAAATTAAATACAAATTATTTATATGCATTAATTTAAGAGCATCTACTTAGAAGAAACCAAATAGTCTATCGCCCTCATATCAGTGTTTTTTAACAAAATATTTTTTTAAGGGAAAGAGAGGTACCAGGTGGGACAACACTTAAACAGAAGTTCAGGATCTTTCTTTCTTTCTTTCTTTCTTTCTTTCTTTTTTTCTTTTTTTTTCTGCCCACCCCTCCCTTCTCTTGTTTCCTCCAGGCTTATCCATGCAGTTTCACAATCAGTTTTACAAATGTCCCGTCTGAAAATTTCGTCTGCCACCACCCTTAGAACTATGAGTTTCAAAACAGTGCTACATGACAACATTGACTAAGAACTTCTCCTGTGCATGGTTCATTGAAACAAATGGCTTACTCTTGCTAAGCTCCTATTGTTTTGAGTGGAGTTTGCATGGGTGGCGTTTGCAGTTGTGCCCAATGTCAATAGTCCCCCTCACCTTATAACCCAAATGTGCAAAGTTCCAACCCCTTCTTCCTCCAGAGCCACAGTTAACATGCTACATACTTTACCATGAAGGTTTTGTGAGAGAGTTAGAATTTCAATCTAAAAACAAGTAAGGTGGTTAAAATACTATCTTAAGCATCCTTTTCCAACTGCATTGCTCTCGAGTTGTGTTAACTTCAATTCCCCTCCACCTGCAGACAGAATAGGTCATATTGGCTGTAAATGGTAAAGGACCATTGTACAACATGTTTGATAAAGAGTGATGTAAAGGGAACCCTAAAGAAGGTTAATATTTTTCCACAAGTAAAACAACTGAGCGAAATTCATAAGAGGTTTGCCATGACTTATTAAGAAACAAAGAAGTGTTTCTGAAAGTTCCTCCTCTAGCCTAGTGGAGTCAAAACAGCTTTAAGAAGCCTGGCAACATTGTCCAAGGGGCCCAGGTTGCATATTCCTCTCTTCTATGATTTTGAATGTTCAAGACTCAAACTTTAGTACTCCAGAAATCATTGATGCTTTGCAATATGGTTAACATTTTCCATACCAGAAAACTGGAGTCAAATGAACACAATTTAAATAACTAAAACTAGGACCAAACTCTCTATTCACCTCATATTAGCACCTACTGCTGATGAGTATTTGGAAAAACTTTTCTTCACCTCTCAGTTCTAAATCGGCCAAAAATTATGCTCGAGAGGAAGGAAACACATGGAAAATATGCATGTGTGTGTCTCTCAACCTCCCTCCCACAACCAAAACAAATGAAAACCTGAAGCCACATTGTTTTGCCATGGAGTTTAAAGTATTGTCAAATTTTAATTCTTGGAAGTTATTTGTGAACTCTAAGGACTGCTGAAGTATGTGCATATGTGTGAATTTTAGTTTTATTAATTCTTGTCCAGAGATCTGGAGGATCCAGTGTTTTCCTGTATTTAGCATAATGTTTGAAACTGTCACCTTAATTTACTTCCTTTTATAATATCCCTGTTCACTTACAACTTTGTCACAAAGTGAGTTATTTTGGCTGAACGTGATCCAAAGCCCCTTTGGCCCAAGTGAGAAGAAATGGCTAGTTTGCACACGATTGTTTCCTATAGGCCAAATGGAAAAATTGCTTAATTTGAACATAATGGAATATTTTCTGCCTATGTGGTCAGTTTTACCACATGCATATAACTATCTCTGCTTACCCTCCACTGCCTTTAGCCAGTGGTTATGGTCTCTGTTGACACAGAGAGCCTTAGGCATGAGTTTTAGCAACCATGGTTATTAAAGAAACATGTACCAGGAAATGCAAGTCTCCAGCAAGGTACATGTGTCTTTTTAAGGAGACATTCTAATTTTCCTTCAGTGGTTACAAAAACATCATGAGAATCCTGCACTTTTTGCAAATAGTAAAATCCAGAGCTGACTTTAATTCATGAGTGCAGGTAGATCCCAAAATCCAAATGAACCCATGAGCAGCCATCTGTTTTTGGATCCTTATTCCACACAATGTGCAATCCACTGAGCCAAAGTGGTTTTAGAAAAAGATTTATATTTTAATGGAATTCTGAGTGAGCACAGAATCAGTTCCTTAAATTAAGATAAACTTGCCAGTTGGGGTTTTCCTAAGAACTTGAAATTTCTTTTGTATTGTTTTTATTTAACCACAAACCACAATATGGCATCAGAATAAAGAACTTGTGTTCAGCAACAAACTATGTATTAGTATTTTGCTTTATTTTTTTTAAAAAATCTGCATAAACTGTACAAATTTCATCTCTATTTTTTTAAACCGACCAAGCAGCTTTCCCTCTTCAATGACAGAGATCATAACGTCTAAAATAGAGTGCCAAATCTATGAGGCCTATTAATACTAAGCAACAGTCAGAATACTTCTTTTGAAAACAAATTGCATTATCTTGTTTCCCAGATTGCTTCAAGACAAACTGAATTCCTGAAATAGAACCAATAATCTGTTCTCAGAAGAAAGCAATTTCTAAACTTTCTGTCAGTTGAACTAGAAAAAGATGCTGAAAATAATGTCATTTATTGAACTCACAAGTGCCATTTATTAGGGTATTTAAAATTACATGCATGTTTTTTTCTTTTTTTTTAAATAGATTGTCTTGTTTACACAACTTCCTATGGCTGTGACCAGTGCTGTGTGTTTTCACTGAATGCAAACTCAAGATTGATCAATTACATTCAAAAATAGTTCACAAACCATTCTTGTAAGTCAGTGTTTCTCAACCTTCCTAATGTTGCAACCCCTTAATACAGTTGCTCATGTTGTGGTGACCCCTAACCACAACATTATTTTTGTTGCTACTTCGTAACTGTAATTTTGCTACTGTTATGAATCATTATGTAAATATCTGATATGCAGGATGTATTTTCACTCACTGGACCAAATCTGGCATAAATGCCTGATACACCCACATTTGAGTACTGGTGGGGTTGGGGGGGATTGATTTTGTCATTTGGGAGTTGTAGTTGCTGGGATTTACAGTTCACCTACAATCAAAGAGCATTCTGAGCTCCACCAATGATAGAATTGAACCAAACTTGGCTCACAATACTCCCATGACCAACAGAAAATACTGCGTTTGGTGAGCATTGATCTTGAGTTTCAGAGTTGTAGTTCACCTACATCCAGAGAGCACTGTGGACTCAAACAATAATGGATCTGGACCAACTTGGCACAGGTACTCAATATGCCCAAATGTGAACACTGGTGGAGTTTGGGAAAAATAGACCTTGACATTTGGGAGTTGTAATTGCTGGGATTTAGAATTCCCCTACTATCAAAAAGCATTTTGAATCCCACCAATGATAGAATTGGGTCAAACATACCACACAGAACCCCCATAACCACCAGAAAATACTGTGTTTTCTGATGGTCTTTGGAGACCCCTCTGACACCCCCTCACGACCCACCCAGGGGTCCCGACCCCCAGGTTGAGAAACACTGTTGTAAGTAAACATTTGAGTGAAAGTGAGAAGTCTTTCTATGGCTGAGTAAAAGAAGGGAGCTCTCCAAGGTGCTACTGTGAAGGTTAGAGATAGCCCAGAGCTGGCTGTTTTGCCTGATAGAAAACTACAAATTTAGACAATGTCTTTCTTAAACCATAATATCATTTTGCCATCCTCAGAGAAAGAATCAAAGTCAATTGATTTTTTTTCTTCCATTGATTAATATGGGAAATAAAATGCTAAAACAGTGGGGAAAATTTCCATTTGTGTTAGTAATGCTCTCTGTATCCAACAAAAGATGTGTGGCTGTTATATGTTAACTGTGTTCTTCAGTTTTCAGCATGTTTCAATAGAAGAAATTAATATTAACCATTTGAGAGACCAGTGTACTTATTTGCTAAGGGTATAACTTTATCTCACAAATTTGATGGAGAAGGAGTGCATCAAGATATGAAGACACAAATGATGTCCTTGATTTTAATTATGTTTATATCATATCATATGTTTCTGTTATTTGTATGATGGATACTTCTATCTAACTGGGTTTCACAGTAAATAAAATGTGCAATGCCGTTAAAATAACGGCATTAACAAAACACTCACTCATAGGGTGCTAGGCCAAATTCTGCTCTGCTTTATCCACAGTGTGAAAGAAGACAGTCCAGGAACATGGAAAGGCTTGAAAATCCATTTCTAAGGACCTTTGACAGCAGGAAATCCAATTAGTCAATACTTTAGAACTCTCAGCCTTCTTAGCCCAACTAGGTGTGCAGTCCCTGCTGACAAAGGTAAACTATCTGAAAGTGCCAATTGATTCTCCTAACAATATTTGGAGGGAGTGAGGTTTTCAATAGTTTCACATGAGGGGGGGGGGAGTTTTTCCTCTTCCCTTTTTCATGAATAAAGACAGCAATGTCAGTACTCTACGGGCAAATTTCAACTATAAAATGCCTTGGAGGGAAAAAACAACAACCATATTTTCTCCAAGTCTGCCTTTCACCAAAGACAGAATAGATAACTTTGTGGATGCAGAAGGATCTTGTTTGAGGAAGACATTGTACAAGCAGAATGTCCAGCCAAAAAGGATCTTTAACTTGTAGCCTTTCTTACTAAACAGGAATGCCCCACGGTCCTCCATTTATTGTGTGCGTTGATTACTTTTCCTTCTTTAACCCTCTGTTCCTGAGAAATTTAAAGGAAATTAAAGGAACTGCTTCTGGAAATGTTCTGTCTTAAACTCTTTGAGCCCTAAACTCTTTGATCCTCCTCATTTTATGGTGGCTTTAGAAATGACATGATACTAGGGTTGTGTAATTCAGCTGAATCATGATCCGTTTCATAGAATCATAGAATCATACAACCAAAGAGTTGGAAGAGACCTCATGGGCCATCCAGTCCAACCCCCTGCCAAGAAGCAGGAATATTGCATTCAAATCACCCCTGACAGATGGCCATCCAGCCTCTGTTTAAAAGCTTCCAAAGAAGGAGCCTCCACCACACTCGGGGCAGAGAGTTCCACTGCTGAATGGCTCTCACAGTCAGGAAGTTCTTCCTCATGTTCAGATGGAATCGCCTCTCTTGTAGTTTGAAGCCATTGTTCCGCGTCCTAGTCTCCAAGGAAGCAGAAAACAAGCTTGCTCCCTGTGGCTTCCTCTTACATATTTATAATTTTTTTTGGTATCCGAATTTCAGTGGACCCGTGGATCCATTTTTGTGAGGCTCTCAAAGATGTCAGATGTCCAAAAACCAATTTCAGGTCCACAGCCAAACTATGCAGGAAAATCTGACCATTGGGGGCAATGGGGGGGGGGGGGGGGGTTCCAGGTCGGCACTATTCTTTTTAATAATAATCCTTTGAAGGTATTTTCTTCTAGGCAATGCTTCAACAAAACCCAAGCCTGATATTTTTAAACAACAGCCAAATTAAATTAAATTAAATAATAAATAAGTAATAAATAAAATAAATGAAGAGTGTAGAGCAGGGGTCCACAAACTTTTTAAACAGAGGGCCAGGTCACAGTCCCTCAAACTCTTGGCGGACCAGATTACAATTCGAAAAAATTCGCATGAATTCCTATGCACACTGCACATATCTTATTTATAGTGCAAAAACATTTACAAACAAAACAATAATTAAAATTAAGAACAATTTTAACAAATATAAACTTATTAATATTGCAATGGAAAGTGTGGGCATGCTTTTGGCTGTTGAGATAGGATTGTTGTTATTGCGTGCTTTCAAGTAGTTTCATACTTAGGTTGACCCTGAGCGAGGGTCGGGTAAATGACCTTGGAGGGCCACATCCGGCCCCCGGGCCTCATTTGAGAACACCTGGTCTAGAGAGATATTTTATTAAAGCAAGCAACATAGAGAACTTGATGAGATTTGCAAAGGAGAGATATTTGGCATTGGTAGCAGGTACTTGGGTAGGGAGGTACTGGTCGTGGATTTTCTTAGACCGAGGCTTTACAATTTGCTGGTACAATTCCTATTAATAATATGTTTTTGAAAGTTTATTTTCTGATGGAGGTTAGAGATAGAGAAGATGGGTCCTGTAGTCTAGTTCTGTAGGCAAAGATTCAACAAACGCCAAGCCTAATATTATTTTTAAGCAACAGTAAAATTAAATGAAATGTAATAAATAGAAAAAAGAAGACTAAATAGGGTAATATTTTGATCAAATTAAACAACAAAGGGAACAATGAAATTGCAAGGGAAAGGAATTATGTATTGGTATTGGTAGGTAGGTACTTAGGTAGGTAGGTCCTGGTAGTAAGTAGTGGTTTTTCTGAGACTGAGTCTTTTCTGTTTGCTGGGATTTTTATTCATAATAATCTTTTTAAAGTATTTCCTGAAGGAGGAGAGGGAGGAGAAAAAAATATGAGGAGAGAAGCTAAAGAGGGTGAATCAAGCTCAGAGAAACCCTAATATTTTAAAAGAAAAACACCCACCCAAGAAATGCTCTTTCTCCCAAGTCCCCAAACGCATACTCACTGACCCGCAGTTTCCAACTCCCCGTCCCAATAAAAAAGTATCAAGAAAATAAAGGAAGTAAAGGGAAATCAAATAATAAAATTGGATTCAAGGAAATAGATTTGCTGCTGCTGATGCTATTTATTTTGAAGCCAAAATACCAGTAGAAAGCGAAGCCAACCCAAGCCAAAAGTAAAGCTGTGAGCAGCAATCGGACTGATGCACAATCAATCTGCCTCCTCTAGAGCAAGGATTCAACTAAGAAATAGAAGTGCTCACCCTGTTTATATAGACCCAACTTGGGTAAGATACGTTATGGCTTTCTTCTCATAATGATTGGCTCAACAGGCAGGACTCACAGGGAAACCCCTTGTGAGCATCTCTCTGTGCTCCGGGTGTTCCCAAATAGAAACTGAAAGTAACGGTGATTGTTCTTTTTCCTAGTTCCAACAGACCTCACTACCTCTGAGGATGCTTGCCATAGATGCACGCGAAACGTCAGGAGAAAATGCCTCTAGACCATGGCCATATAGCCTGAAAAGACCTACAACAACCCACTTATAACCATTGTTTTTTGGTGCAGATATAAAACACAACTATAACTGTTTGGAGATGTTGGTTTTTGGTTGCAATCAAATGAGCTATCTGTGCACGCAAAATGCTTCTCAAGCTGTAATTGTCCAATTTGTTACAATGACTAGGGAAGAATCATTGTAAATTTCTCACAAATAATAACTATGGCTGTTTAAATAAGAACACCCTTGAATT